TCCATGAAGGTCATTTCCACTGTATCCCATTGAGAGAGAGAGAGAGAGAGAGAGAGAGAGAGAGAGAGAGAGAGAGAGAGAGAACAATATGTTTCTATTTTTCAAAAGTTCAAATTAAAAGGGCTGGGGATGTAGCTCAGTGATACAGTGCCCCTGTGTTTAATCTTTGGACCAAAAACAGAACAAAACAAATTATGGGTATTAAATGGTAAGCACTGAATTTAATATTGACATCTGCAATGAATGTAGAATTCTATTGAAATCACACAAAATCCTGCCCATGCTTTCATTTTTAATCTTTGAATCTTTSTTCTATATTATCTGTACTTGGTGTTTGTTTGTAGCTGCATTTGTTTTTTACCTTTGGCAGAAATAAACTCATTTCACATGTTAAAAAATTTAAGCCACTTACAGTTCCTGGCCGCGGGTAGGGAACTCTTCCTTGATAGGGCACCCACTGGTAGTTGGGACCATCCCTGTGAGCATATGGACCAAGGAACACCCTTCTCACATCGCTCATGCTGTACATACATACTGCTGATCCCTTGAAGATGTTACTGAAAACAACAACAACAAAAAAAAGAGAATAAAAACTGATGTTCATCCTTATAAAAAGGCATGTGAATTTGAGAATGAGTTACTAAATTTCAGATATTATCTAAACTTGAATATAAATTTTTAGCAATAATATGTTAAGAATATTTTAATCACACGAATGTATTTTAACAATGCGCAAGAAAACAAATTATGATTTCTCAAAAATAGCACAATGAAACCATTTTTTAGTATTCACAGAATATATGCATTCAYATCAAACAGACTATTAACTTAGAAAAAATATAGAAAATCTATTCTAAATGAGTATTTAACTTTAATGTCATTTGGAAATAAAAATTTACAACATATTTAAGCCTCGAGCACTATTACTGGAACCAGAAAACTTTTAAACAAGCAAGAATTTTTAAGAATTTACTCAGCCTTAAAGAGGAATAAAATTATGGCATTTGCAGGTAAATGGATGGAGCTAGAGAATATCATGCTAAGTGAAATAAGCCAAACTCAAAGAACCAAAGATCAAATGTTTTCTTTACGTGGATGATGATCCATATGGGGTAAGAATGGAGATTGAAGGRACTTTGGATTGTGCAGAGGAGAGTGAGAGAAGGGGAGTGATGGGAAGGACTTGGATTGAGACGGATGTTATTACCCTATATTCATGTATGATTACACTACTGCTGTTATTCTGCACCATGTTCAGCCAGAGGAAGGAGAAGTTGTGCTTCATTTGTGTACAGTGTATCAAAATGCATTCTACTGTCATATATAACTAATTAGAACAAATTGAAAAAGAAAAAAAAGAATTTATAAGTTGGAACTAGTGCATAAATGAATGGTAAATTATTTGTCTTATATATATGTAAAYATATATTTTTTCTTTTAAATATGTATTGATGTATTATATACATATGTGTGTATTTGTGTGTGTATATATGTATATGTATGTRTATATATATATATATATATATATATATATAAATGAAAAAATGCACATGCTATGCATTTTTTTTCCTTTTTCTTTTTCTTTGAGACTGAGTATCACTAAGTTTCCCAGGTTGACTTTGACCTTGTGATCCTCCTATTTTAATCTCTTCAGTATCGGGGATAACAGGCATGAACCACCAAACCTGGTTTACATTATAGTGTTTTTTATACCCCAAACCAAAAGCTATTAGATCTAATAACATAGTTTGATATTTTTGAAAACATTTAAAATAATCTATTTCCAACAGAGAAAGTAGTTTTAAGTAGTAGTTATTTTTCCCAAGTTAAAGCCAAACATTAAACAATTATTTTCATCATTTTACTGAATAAAATCAGGTAATTGAAGTAAAATGGAGATTGGTCACTGAGCTGCCACAATTTTCCATTTTATTTTGCTTATATAAATATGACTTGCAGAATGTATTTACACAAACATATTATACAGTCATACACTTTTACAATAAAAAATACTTATCTTTTAGTTGGTCTCACCCCACAGAAAATGACATATAAATCAGACTAATGCAAACCTTGTGTTCCTACCAATTTATTTTTGGAAACTGCAAGCTTCATGAGGGAAGGGATTGGCTGGTTCCTTTCCTGCAATATCAATTACTTACCACATGGCACTTTATTCAGGGTAAACGTCAATAAGTATATATAAAATTTAATGTTTTTGTGATAGAATAAATAGCAAATTAACACATGTGATGCATCACAGTTGGTAATGTAGTTTATTGTGTACATCCCTTTTCCATTGCTACATGTTTTGCTTATTTATTCATGTAATCAGTCAGCATTGAAAGATTTGATGGATATGATTTTCAGCTATGAAGACATACTCACAAACAAATATCTACCTCATTGAAATAGAGAGGTGRAATTCTATCACTCGTTAAGCTACTGGCAAAGTGAGGTCCCTAGACCAATAACACAGGCATCACCTGGGAACTTGTCAGAAATGTAAATTCTTAGGATCCTCCATCTCATTCCTCCTGACTCAGGAACTCTGGGAATGGGACTGGCATTCTCAATTTTGATTATTTGTCRTTTATTTTTTTTCTATTTAAATTCATTTATTTAATTGGTCACAAAAAATAGCAACCCAAATTTTAACAAATTCTTTAGTTGATTCTAACACATTATGTCTGAGAACTACTGTACTAAGCAGTGAGGAAGCAGAAAAAAGGGATTAATTTTTGGTTGACTTGAGCCTCCTTCAATCTTCACTTCTTTTGTATTGTTTTTACATCAAAGGGAAGAAATATGTTGGTACAGAAGCTTATATATAAATTTAGTRAAGTAGGTTTCTTCATTTGGACATATTAATGTTTAAAATTAAGTAAATGCATCCAAGAAGTGTGTGACAGCTTTAATATTTGCAGAATAAACTAGTGTTGGACATTGCAGTTAATCTTTCTTTCATGCTATTACAATGACTAACAGAGCTTTTTCCGACTATAGATTTGAATTATTTTTCTTTTAAATATTTTACCAATATGCCAATATTTATTCATATTTGTATTCATATAAATATATATGAATTCTTGCAACAACACCCGGTGATGTGAAATTTACACTGAATATAATGATGGAGAGATAATTGTTGCTCAATTGACAGCAAGAGCCTCAGGAAAGAAAGATGAAAAATTGGGAGAAGAGAAATTGTGGAAAGGGAAAGAAAGCAGAAGGAGGGAGAAGGACAGAAAGAACTGAAAGGTGGAGTGGAAGTGAAAGGAGAAGGGAGAAATGAAGGAAATGAAGACTGAATTTTATATTGTATATAAAATAGAACATAGGTTTAAACCCAGTACTAATTTAGTGTTCAGGTTTTGTTGTTTGATCTCATTAGAACTTATTATAGGATTATTTTTAAAAAATGTATTACAGGGTGGCCAATAACAAATTAAGTAGACTCTTAGAGAGAGAGAGAGAGAGAGAGAGAGAGAGAGAGAGAGAGAGACTACTAAAACTTTTTTTAAAGTATTTTTTTAGTTGTAGTTGACACAATATCTTTATTTTATTTATTTATTTTTATGTGCTGAGGATCGAACCCAAGGCTTTGCATGTGCTAGGCGAGTACTCTACCGCTGAGCCACAACCCCAGCCCMAAGACTACTAAAACTTTAAAGTATAAATAACTGAAGTTTTATTAATGCTTTTTAAAAGTACACAAGAGCAATTTAGTAGTTTCATTTGTTCAGTTTTTCCTAAACCTATAAATTCTTGCTTYAATTCCAGAGTTATACAGAAAAATATAGTGAAGACTAGACAGGTGGAGAAGAGGGTAACCAAAGGACCATGGATGCATTGGCATTTCTAGATGCGTTTTCCTCTCAGATTTTCATGCCAACCATCTGATCAGAGAAATGACTCTCATCTCAGTGGAATTGCTGGTACCAAAGAATATCTGAGCTTTTCTTTTACCTAATTTATTTAGCAATTGATTAAAGAGACTAAGACAGAGATTTTAAGTATATACTAATTTATAAATATATAAGTACTAAATTAAGCTATATGTATACATATAATTCATAAGTTATAAATTAAGTTTCCTTACMCTAAGTTTATATTGCTCCAAATACTTTCATAAACTCAGATATCATTTTGATAATAGTCTAGACTTCATTCAAATGTTTAAACTCAAAGATGAACCTTGGATACAACACAAACTTTTCAAACTGTTTTACCATTCTATTTACTATGATGATATTCTTTACTAAAACTCGATTTTAAAAACAATTACTTTGGTCATAACTTATTTAAGCTACTTAAGAATGTAGCTCAAAAGATTAAAGCAACATGGTTCTTTGAAAAATTATATTTTCAATCGTTAAAGACACTCAAAAAAATGAAAGGACAAGAGGTTTCTTGCATAAAATGGAAATAAAAGTTATTTACCTGGATGTTGTAAACACTCCATATACAATTGGGTTTTTAGGATCTTTAGAGTTCATTAGGAATACATCCTCTGTTTGAAAACAAAATTGGGGAAAGTTGCATTTTTTACAGTTATGGAAAAGACTGAACAAATGTCCTCTGCGTGAACACCAACCACTTACGCAGTTCATCAAAATGGGTGTCTATGCCATTTGGGCCTGGCACTGAGCAAATCAGCCGAGCTTTAAGGAATGTTGTCCATTTATTCACAAGACTTCTGTGTCCTCCAAAGTCATTCTAAAAGGAGAAATAGCCAGTTTTAGTTCCTGTGCATGCAAACATTAATTTGAAATATTTATTTTTTTGTATATTACGACCGATATAAAACTTCGTCATCTTTCTTAAAAAAAAAAACAGAAGAAAAAAAAAACAGTTCTTTATGCAACCAAGGGAGTTCTTAATTCATCATTTTTCAAAATTTCCATAAGCATTGTAAATGACCAGACACAAGTAAATATCATTTTTTATTTTTTATTATATCACTGGTCAAATCATTGACTCAAATTTTATTCAAGGAACTTCTCACAATAAATGTCCAATGGTGATAGTAGAAAATAAAAATCTACTATATTCTTTAAAATTGTTAAGAAAGTGGATTATAAGCATTCTCACTACAAAGAATTCTTAATATGTGAGGAAATACACATGTTAATTTGCTTGATTTATCTATCTACAATATGTACGTATTTTACAGCATCATATCTTACATGAAAAATACATTATTTTTTTTTTTTTTTTGTACTGGAGATTGAACTCAGGGCCACTTGTTCACTGAGCCACATTCCCAGCTTTATTTTGTATTTTATATAGAGTCAGGGTCTCAATGATTTGCATAGTGCCTCCCTTTTGCTGAGACTGGCTTTGAACTAASAGTTCTCCTGTCCCAGTGTCCCGAGTCACTAGGATACATTCAATTTTTTTGAGATTACAAAACAATTAATCTTTAAAGTCACTTCACTTTTCCCATCCTGTTACCACTCGGCCATGGATGAAYATTTATTTACTGTTGTGTTTGTTTTCTTTTACTGATGTCTCTTGCTCCTAATTACTGTGTGTATGGTTTTTTTTTTTTTGTTATTTGTTTGTTTGTTTTTAATACTGGTTTACAGCTAATACTTGGTATACAACCGGCACACAGTGAATATTTACTGAATGAATGATAAATCCATGCCTCATAATCTATACTGAAAATATATTCCCCAATAAAAGAAGCTRGCATCAACTACTTTCAAAGCTTTAGGTTCTGAAAGAATTTATACTTTACAAATAACACACTGAGAAAATATTTGCATAAACTTTAATCAAGGAAACTCATTCCTGAGAAAATATTTTGAAAGTGTACTCTCACTGTAAATAAAACCTAAATGTAGCAATAAATTCTATTACAATGTTATATATTAACTATAGTCTTTTAAAAGAATATTTATGTGCATACRTTGAATAAACATATAGGTTTCTTCTAAAATAGTGCATTGATTTAACTTTTGTTTATATGATTTTCTTAACTATATTTTTTAACCCTTGTAATAATACTTTAAAAATGATCTATATTTTGTGGAGAAATGAGTCTCATATATAATATCTTGTTTATACATTCCCAGAGAGTTAAAAACTTTYAATTTTCTTGTAATTGAACATTCCAGAGACAAAGAATTAGATTATTTTGGGATAAAAAAGAGACCACAAAAATATTTCAAATGTTTTGTTATTTTTCCTTAAAAAAGGAAGAATTCAATTTGAAAATTCCTTGGATCTGTTTTTGTGATTTTCTTTTTGAAAGATGCTTTAATATGTGCTAACTTTTTTTCCACATTTTTTTCACCCTATACACCTTAGAGGAAAAGTATAGTACTRTTATCATGTCTTCTAATTGCTGGTACTAATTAACTCATTAGCATTCAGTGAGCAATTTTATTCTATATATCTAACTTTTTAATGTAATATGAAAATACCAAATTTCTCCTAGATATAATTTATATCTCTATATCTATGAAAATACATCTTCAGAACTTCAAACCAAGATCATTTAGTCTAATTATGAAATAATGCCAGTTACCTCACAATCTTTATTTGCATATTTGTGAYTGTGAAGAGTTACTCAAAAGCAACTAGAATGAATTTGCAATCACTTTCTACCATTTCAATATTTCTTGTACTGAGACACATTTTAGTGACATTTTTCCATTGAATTTGCAATGAAAATGATGAGAAATAAAAAGAAATAAAACATGAGTAGAACATCACAATTCTTCAGTTTTTCTTTACCTCACCTTGCATATCTGACCTATTCTAGCATGGGTAGCTTTTCCAGAATGTTCTCCATCTATTGCATTTTCACGGAAGAAAAAATATACTTTGTCATCTTCAGGGTTGTCACTCTCTGGGATGAGGTGAGCACTGATGAACCTTGGATCTGAGAGACAAATTACMGCAGATGTATTAATTCACAGTTTAATAAGAATATGATTAAGTCCATTTCASTGTCTCTTAAACCCTTTTTTATATAGTTCAAGAAATTAATATTTCCTTAGCTCAATTTTCAGTGCATGAGAACTGTTCTTTATGCATTCCAAAGTATATTACAAATCACATCATATTTCCAGAAAATTTAAATTCATTTTGTTCAGGTTAGAAGTAGATATACAAATCATCCATGTGACCATATGCAATGCAAATGAATTACTGGATATTCAAATACTTTGCAGATTTTAAGTGGTATTACCATTTCTAGTCTCCCTTTCAGGCAGAAAATAACTATTAATTGGTGTGTTCCTGATTCCAGCAAAGCATGGGTGGGAAGAGAAAGGTGAGTTCTATACAATAAATGACAATGTCATTATAATAGATACTCAGGCCCAAAACCTTGGCTTCACTCTTGCGTCTTCTCTTGCTCTCCTGTATTCTATCACTATTATTCTCATTCATAACAATTTTTGACCATCCTTTTCTGAATCATTATTGTCAATCTTGTTTAAAATAGATTTCTAACTAATGTCTCTTTCTAYCTTACCAACCAACCTCCATGTCTTTCTCCATATGACAGCCAATGATACTCTGACAGGTCACTTCCTTCCCCCAGCCTCCATTATCTTTCCAATTCACTTATAATAAAATGTAAACTCCTCCCAACGACAAGATTATACTCTTGTCCATGTTACCTGTCACACCTTTTCTCCTACTCCTCCTTCCTATGTACTCCTATAGAGCAATATCCCCTTCCTGGTCCTCAAACTTATTAAGAAAGGACTCCTTCAGTCTTGCCCCAGAGTCAGCTTCCCTGTGTAACCCTTTGCCCCCATACACCAGGGCTGGATTCTTATTTTTACTCAGGTCTTTGTTAAAATGTTACATTAAATGACTTTATTGACTACTCCATCAAAAGCAATGAAATCCTTGCTCCTGGTCATTCTCTATTTTTTTTCTTGCATGATGTTTTTCCCCTAACACTGTTCAACATCTGATGCAATCTCTCTTTCTCTCCATTCATCTATCAAATCCTCATTTGTTAGTTGCATATCGCCCTTACCATCTCAATGGAATAAAAATTCTGAGTGCAAGACTTGGCATATTTTGACAAGGTGTTTAAATGCAGAGTTTAAACACAGTGAGAAGTCAATAAATATCTGTGCAAGGATGAAAGAGAAGAGGAAAAGAGAAAGAAGGAGAAGAAGCAGAAGAAAGGGAAAAGGAAAAAAAAGAAGGGGAAGAAGAAAAAAATAGCAACAACTACAACATAAAAACATATGTCTGATTATACTAGTGAGAACATACATCCGTAATGTTCAGAACCCCACTTCAAAAAATACTTTGTAAATAACTGGGTTGATATGGTTGTGGCTCAGACAGACTATATAAAAATATGAAATGGTTTCAAGACTTTACCATGTAATGTGCTAAAAAGCTGAAAGCACTTAGGACATTGCAGACATTTAAATTCATACAATAATCTACCTTTACTCCATGGTGTATTACATTATTAAGGTAACAATGAAATATATACACACACGGGTCAGCACCATTCTTAAGAGACCAGGAAAGAGATCAGAATCCCTAAACTAGCTTTACCCATGTACAGTCAAGATATTCAATCCTGATCTTCACCTGCGAATAATCATCTCTATCATGTGTTCTATGCTTATAACCTCCTTTTAATGTTTTCTCTGGGACAATGCACTGAATATATTTCACAGGGCTAAATTTCACTCCTTTTCAGGAAAATTATTCAGACTCTGTAAGTAATATAAAACATATGAAAGATTACCTATTCATATTGAAAGTTCAGAGGGCCAGTGAACAAGAATAACCAAATAATGATTTTAAAGTAGAATCAGTACCAGAAATTTTAAAGATGCATAAAACAAAGCTTGATTCTTAATAATTACTCTGAAGCATAGTTTTTTAAAAATGTAGACTTGTTCATATATATACATACATTTATGTATACATTTTTGTCTCATATGAAATGGCAAGAAGAATAATTAAGAGACATAGTAGGGATCCGAGACAAAAAACAAAGAATTAGTACTGCATTGATGAAGTTAATCTCCTAGAAATGCATATGTGCGTGTGTACACATCTTATACATTTGTGCATACAAGTGCATGGACATGCGTAATGCAAAAGTGTCTGTACACATTTCCACCATAAACCTATTCATGCAAGAACTCAGCTCAGTCACATCACATTTGTGAACCTGGGAAAGCCTCTTCCCTCTCAGATGGCTGACTTCAAAATGGTTTTATTTCAAATTGGGTTCTACTAACCCTGTCTGTCATAAATAGTTCATATAAAATCAAATATTTTAAAATTAAGTTATATAAAACAACTGTGTAAAATGTTAACAGATGTATTATTTTCATTGTGATGATACTGAAAGAAGCCTCCATCTTATTTTAAACTTTGGAATCTCATTACAATGCAGCTGTAGACTGAGAAATCATACATTCTTCAACTACTACTGGAGCAATGGAGAAGAAAGGTGTTCTAAGGTGACCTCCCAAATTGGGGTAGTTGTTCATGCAAGTACTTAAATAAAAGAGAATTCCAAGTAATTAAATCCAACTACCTTTGATTAGATGRCAAATGTGCACAAGACACTGTACAGAAAATAAATGAAAAATATACATATTCCTGATTCTCAGGAATGTACAATCTAACAAAAGTAATGTTAGAAACAAAAAACGGACAACAAAGAAAGCAACATACTACATGTATATTTTTATAACTTGATGTTTGGGCATTGGAGAAGGTAACCAAGCATCTTTTTTGTCTCAAATATTTGTATGGTAATTATTATCTTCCAAGAGTCAGCTGTAGTGAGAAATATTCCAAGCAAGTTATCAGGCACATTCATTGTTGAAGAGCCTTCAATCCTAACCTTCCTTCATATCTGATCCTATAGGCAAAGAGGTTTTATCAAGAGTCCCACACCTAGGATTGGCTAGAGCCAAAAATAAAATTATATATGAAAAATGAGAACCAAATTTTTAATATGGAATAATGCCACAGTCCAACTGCAGCAAAATAACCGGGGGGTGACGAACAACTTGTGTACATTGATACAGCAGGAGTGGGAGCCGTTTATTGTAGGACAGGAGCGGTATTTATACATTCCACACAGCTTATCCTAATTAACATAAACTAGATACAGCAGTCAACCAATAAGGA